ACGGTGGCCTCCAATGAGAGCTTTGTCCACCCCAGCCGCTGAGAAAGGCTGGTTCCAACAGTGTTTCTACAGCGTTTTTTCACAGAGGAGATTGAGAGCTGGTCACTCCATGATGGAAGGAAGGGAAAGTGGAGAAGCCCGCTCAACATGAGTGGGGTCCCAGGGACTTAAGGCTGCAGTGGGGGTGCGCAAGAGACAGTGGGAGTCCTGATATTTATCAGACGGTCAGGAGATGGTTGGGCTGGGAGCTGCCTTCCCCTAGTCCGCTGTTCAGTTCCCAGGCTCCCGGGCAGCTGCACCGGTCTCTCCTTCCAGCAAGGCTGGGTCATGTGGCTTTCCCTGATCCCCAGAGACTGGACTCCCTTATTTCCAAGCATGTCTTTACTGTGCACTCCCCACCCCCAGTTTGTTGTTTTGTTTTTTGTTTTTTGAGACAGTCTCACTCTGTCACCCAGGTTGGAGTGCACTGGCGCTATCTTGGCTCACTGCAACCTCTGTCTCCTGGGCTCAAGCGATTCTCCTGTCTCAGCCTCCTGAGTAGCTGGGATTACAGGCGCCCACGACCACGCCTGGCTAACACTTTTGTATTTTTAGTACAGACGGTTTCATCATATTGGGCAGGCTGGTATCAAACTCCTGACCTCAGGTGATCTTCCCACGTCGGCTTCCCAAAATGCTGGAATTACAGGCGTGAGCTGCTGTGTCCAGCCTTCCCACCCTCACTTTGGGAGCCCAAATAGGCCTTTGCTCCTTGCCACCAAAAGCTCCTGCCCCAGTGTCTTCAGCCCTAAGGGCCGAGTCCAAACTCATACCCTGCAAAAATCAATTCTTTTAGCAAAGCCATCCAATGAGCAACTATGAAACCTGCTGCCCAGTGGGTGAGTGGGGGCGACTTTCTGGAGGTCAAGAAGAGTGTGTGCTGGGCACGGTGGCTCATGTCTATAATATCAGCACTTTGGGAGGCTGAGGAGGGAGGATCACTTGAGTCCAGGAGTTTGAGGTTACAGTGAGCTGTGATCGCAACACTGCACTCCAGCCTGGACAACAGAGCCAGACAGTGTCTCAAATTAAATAAATAAGATTTAAAAATGAGTGCTCTTCAGCTGGGGTCCCTTGAACGCACTACAATAAGACACTACAATAAGACAGAACCTGGAATAGGGTGTGGTGAGTGAGGCACTGCCTGGGGCCCAAAATTTAAGGGGCCTTGTAATCAAGATAAATAATATTGGAATACAATATTTTTAAAAATCAATGTTAAAACAAAAATATCAATGATGAAAAAAAATTGATTTTCCTTTTTTTTTTTTTTTGAGACAGAGTCTCGCTCTGTCGCCCAGGCTGGAGTGCAGTTTCATGATCTCAGCTCACTGCAACCTCCACATCCTGGGTTCAAGCGATTCTCCTGCCTCAACCTCCTGAGTAGCTGGGACTACAGGCTTGTGCCACCACGCCTGACTAATTTTTGTAGTTTTAGTAGAGATAGGGCTTCACGGTGTTAGCCAGGATGGTCTTGATCTCCTGACCTCATGATTTGCCTGCCTCAGCCTCCCAAAGTGCTGGGATTGCAAGGGTGAGCCACTGCGCCCGGCCCAGAAAAAATCATTTTACTTTATGTTTTGAGATGGGGTCTTGTTCTATTGCCCAGGCTAGAGTACTACAGCACGATCACACCTCACTGTAGCCTTGACCTCCTGCGCTCAGGCAATTCTCCCACCTCGGCCTTCCAAAGTGCTGGGATTACAGGCGTTCTTAAAAAAAAATTGACTATTTATTAACTTTTTCCACTTGGTTCCAACTATGGAGGTGACATTTTCCTGAGTGTCCTGAGGCTGCACAGAGAATCCCCCACTTCCTTCTCCTGCAAATAAACTGGGAAAGGATTCCTCCAGCTTCCTTGGTCTCAGGCTGCAGCCCGGCTGCAGCTCCCGAAAACGAGGGAGGAAGGGGTCACCCCAGGAAGGTAACGGGGTCCGCGGCTCAGGAGGCGGCTCCCGGGTGAGGAGCCCTCCGCGGCCAGCAGGGGACGCTGTGGGCCTGCGCCGCCAGAAACCGTTTTGCCAGGGAAGAAGCCGCCATGCACCCCAGTTCCTGTCGCCCACGTCGCTCACAGCCCCAGCTCCCCCGGGGAGCTGACCCACTTGCTCAGCTCCTGGGAGAGATAGCTAACTCTGGGTGTAGAGAACAAAACCAAAGACCAGATGTTGCTCCTTACCCACTAGTCCCCTGCACCCAGGCATAGCCCCTAGAGAATAACACGCCTTCCCCCAGCAAGGCCTCTTGGGTATCTTGTTTGCCCCAGGTTCAAGTAGTATCACCAGCCAGGGTCTGGCTGATTCACTAATTGCTGGTGTCCTCTCTGTTGGGAGTGGAGAGTAGGGAGAACCTTCCAGAAGGGCCACGTTCCCGAAGGATTCCAGTTTTGATGAGTTCAGAAGCCCCTTCACCATTCTCAAGCCAAGTGATGTGAAATGAGGAGGGCGGGCTTTCTTCCTGGATGATCTCCCCTACCCCCGACCTCAGATGCCCCTTTTCCTCCGATAGTCCCTATGGCCCATGGCTCTATGGCCCCCATTGACTCTGGTTCCAGCTCTGGCTTTCCTGGGCCCACCAGGGGCCCTGGGCCCAGGACTTGGAAGCTCTCCTGGGTTCCTTCTATTTCTTTTATTTTCTTTATTTTCTTTCTTTTTTTTTTTTTTTTTTTGAGATGGAGTCTTGCCTCTCCTGCCACCATGCCTGGCTAATTTTTGTATTTTTAGTAGAGATGGGGTGTCACCATGTTGGCCAGGCTGATCTCGAACTCCTGACCTCGTGATCCGCCTGCCTCAGCCTCCCAATGTGCTGGGATTACAGGCGTGAGCCACCATGCCCGGCCTCTTCTCTTTTCTTTTTCTTTCTTTCTTTTTTTTTTTTTTTTTTTTGAGACGGAGTCTCATTCTGTCGCCCAGGCTGGAGTGCAATGGTGCGATCTCAGCTCACTATAGCCTCCTCCTCCTGAGTTCAAGTGATTCTCCTCCCTCAGCCTCCTGAGTAGCTGGGATCACAGGCGCCCGCCATCACAGCTGGCTAATTTTTGTATTTTTAGTAGAGACAGGGTTTCAGTAGAGACAGCGTTTCACCATGTTGGCCAGGCTGGTCTCGAACTCCTGACCTCAAGTGATCCACCTCAAGTGATCCGTCTGCCTCGGCCTCCCAAAGTGCTGGAATTACAGGCATGCACCACTCCTGCAGTGAGTGAACATGAAGTTAGAGGTGACTGTGGCTCAGAAAGGCTGCGTGACTTACCCAAGGTCGCATAGCAGTGAGAAATGGAGTCTGGGCCCAGAGCCAGAGCACTGTCTTTTGGCATTGCCTCCCTGGGAAGGCTGGACCTGCACCGTCCTCTCTGCCCTGCACCGTTTTAGTTCACACAGCTCACTCTTGGCCCGTGCCGGGTACTTGTCTTGCTTTCTAAGAGTGGTTATTTATTGATTCTTTGGATTTCTACTTAGTTCCTCCCCTGTGCCAGGCCCAGGAGACAAAGGCGGAGGCTGCACTCAAGGAGTTCATGGTCTGGGAGACAAGATTCTTCCTGCGTGTCAGCTGAGTCTTCCCAGGCAGCCCGCAGGCCTCCCAAGGGGCAAAGGCTGTTTCCTGCTTCTCCTGCAGCCCACCCGGGGCTGGTGACCTCCTGGTCCCTTCTCAGGGAGCTGCTGCTGCTGCCGCCTCCATCATTGGGTGGGGGCTGGGCAGGCCTGACCCAGCAGGCTATGAGGTGAGGGATAGAGGAGGGCTGGGGAAGGGGTCTGGGAGCTGAGAGCTCAGGGAAGGTGTTGGGGGTTTAAGGCTGATGAAAGCAGGCTTCCTTTCTCAAACACCCAAGGGCTGATCTACCGCATGTAATTTGAGCAACAGGGCCGGGCCCTCAGCTCTGCCTGTGCACAGCCTCCCGTGTTCAGGTCTAGAAGGTCAACGTTCAGGCCAGGCACGGTGGCTCACACCTGTAATCCCAGCACTTTGGGAAGCCGAGGTGGGTGGATTACCTGAAGTCAGGAGATCAAGACCATACTGGCCAACATGCTGAAACCCCGTCTCTACTAAAAAATACAAAAATTAGCCGGGCATGGTGGTGCATGCCTGTAATTCCAGCTACTTGAGAGGCTGAGGTAAGAGAATCGCTTGAACCCATGAGGCAGAGGTTGCGGTGAGCCGAGATCGCACCATTGCACTCCAGCCTGGGCAACAACAGCGAAACTCCGTCTTAAAGAAAGAAGGTCAAGGTTCAATCCTTGGCTCTATCACTAAAGCACTGGGACAAACAGGGCCCTTTTGTGTGGATATCTCACCTCTGATTCCCTCCTCCCTATTGTACCCTTGCTGGGAGGAGATTTCCAGAACCAAACCTTAAAAACCTCCTGACTTGTTGTAGTTGAGACGCAGTCTTGCTCTGTCACAGAGGCAGAGGCGCTATCTCGGCTCACTGCAACTTCCTCCTCCGGGGTTCAAGCGATTCTCCTGCCTCTGCCTCTTGAGTAGCGGGACTACAGGTGCGCGCCACCACGCCCAGCTAATTTTTGTATTTTTAGTAGAGATGGGGTTTCACCACGTTGGCCAGGATGGTCTTGATCTCCCGACCTCAAGTGATCCGCCCGCCTTGGCCTCCCAAAGTGCTGGGATTACAGGCATGAGGCACCGCGCCCAGCCTTGCCTCCTGACCTTTTAACAAGGCTGACCTCCCCCAGGCCCCACAAAACCCCAGTTCCAGTTTCCAGCTCTGTGTTCCTGATGAACCAGGTGAGGAACCCACAGCAATCTTAATCCCCAATTTAGAGAGAAGCCCAGGGGGAGCCAAAGGTGAGACACAGGGGATGGGGCGCCCTTGGTGTGGGACAGGGGATGGGGCGCCCTTGGTGTGGGAGGTCAAGGGAGGACTTTCAAGAAAAAGGCCAGAGCCCAGAACCAGGGATGGGGGACAGAGGTGAGGGCAGGTGGCAGGAAGAGACTGCACGAGTGTGCACAGGTACAGCAAGAACAGGTCTGTTTAATGACACAGCTGGGTCTGGTTACAAACATCAGAAACTAGAAAAGGAGGACAGGCAGTTACACAGATGAAGATGAGGATGGGCCAGGAGGGGACACAGGCATAGTAGCCACAGCAGCAAAACATCCTTGGAGACGATACATGTGACCAAGGGGCACACATGGGGGCCCCCCGGCAAGGCTGGCGCACATGAATAGACAGGGCCGACTGCCGGCCAGAAGGAGAGGGGGGTGGGGAAAGCCCTCGGCCCTCGGGGCCGAGGGTGAGACCCAGGCATGTGGTCCCGCCAACCTGCTGCCCAGCAGCCCGGATTCCCCGGGGCTACCCTGGTGGCCAAGGCAGGTGGAGCTGGCGGTCGAGGTTTCTGGACGGAGGCCCCTCCCCTAGTGCAGTCATCCCATCCAGAACTTCGCTCTGCCCTTGCCCATTCTAGGGCAGTCAGTGAGTCAGTTCCTCTGAGGGGAGTAGGGGGAGCCCACTCCTTTCTGCCTGGAAGTGGAATTCAGGAATGTGGGGAGCTGGTCTGAGAAGCGCTGGGCTTTGCCGCCAAGCCGGGTTGCCCCAGCCCTGCCCCTCCAGGCCCAGGTCCTCTGCGCCGCTGCGGGATTTCCTCTTTGCCAGAACACTCTGTTCTCTGCACAACCGGAACCGCTCCCTGCCCCACTCACAGGTGGGGCCAAACCGAGGCTTCTGGGCCCCGTGGATACACAGTCTAGATATGTACGTGTGTGTATATATATGTGTATATATATATTTATATATAGCTCGTATATAGAATATATCTGTATATATGGTAGATGTGTGCGTGATACTCTACATGGTGATGTGCAGACCTGCATGCCGGCTGGGCTGATAGAAACGGGGCTGGTTTATTCCCCAAGGGACTCCCAGACCTGTCCCGCTTCCCGCCAGCCGCTTAGCTAGGTCTCTCTAACAGTGAGTAGAAAAGCTAAGAAGAGTGGGCCCCGCTCTGCGAGGAGGAAGGGTCCCCCACCCTGCCCGCCGCGCTGGGGTCAGCATCCAGGCAGCCAGCGCCGCCTCCCGGCAGCTCCAGGCGGGGGGGACCGTGGCCACCACAGAGGCCTCCTTCGGGGAAGTTGAGTCAGGGATTCCTCCAGCTTCCTTGGCACCCAGAAATGGAGCATCAAGGAGGGTCTTCAGAACTCGGCCTTCTGCTCAAGGTGCTGCCAGGGAAGGGGGTGGAGGGAGGGGTCCTACGGCCCCGAAGAGGGCAGCGTGGCCGGTGGGCTGTGGACGAGATAGGAAGGGAAGGACATACGTTACCAGAGGCAGGGAAGGACCCTCAGGGGAAAGGGGGAGGACCTGGGGCTGGCGAGGCTCACTTCCTGCCAAGAGAGCTGGCACAGTGCAGTTGAAAGCAACCGTGAGACCCAAGTTCTAGTCTCCGTCCTGCTACGAACCTGCTGTGTGATCTCAGGCAAGTCTACTGGCCCATGGGAGCTCCGGATCTTTTTCTCTAAAATGTGAATAATGTCTGTCTTGTGACAAACTGGGTAAAAAAGTGTTTCACAAACTGCATAGCACCATACCAATGTGAGCTTTTTCCATTAATTCTGAAATGTGGCGCATTCTGTCGGGCCTGTCTCGTCCCTCCTCGGGCCACCCATCTGTATTCTCGTATTCTCGGTACACACAGCCCCCACTGCAATCATCGTGCCCCCCCGCCCCCACCCACGCAAAGGCGCACACCCTGGAGCAGAGACGGCTCAATAAACGGTGACGCCTGGCCCACCCTGCTTCCCTGATAAGAGAGGTTGGGCGAGGGCCTTCTAGGACTCTGCTCTGTAACTCTGTCCTACCCTCGAGCCCATGGGGACCCTGGCAGCCAGAGGCTCTGCAGGCTCAGGCCAGGGACACTAGGAGTGGGCTAGAGGATGTAAAGGGATGCGGGGCAACCCCACCACTTGACGGCTGGGAGCTAACCCCCATGGGGTGTCAGTTTCCACGGTAGCCCATCTCCATTCGGTCCACAAGGAGGAGAAGTGGGCGGAGGAGGAGACTTCAGCAGTTTCAAAATGTTTGGGGTTTGGAGAGATCTTAGTCCCTAGGGCAGGGTGGGGAGGGCAGGATGGGCAGCGTGCTGGGGAACTTGGGCCATGTGTTTCTGATTCACTGGGGCTCGCGCCCAGCCAGCTCTTTCCAGTCCCTCTTGGCCCTTGTAAAAAAGCCCTTTTCTCTGGAAGCAGGAAGTCTTGTGTCCTGGCTGTAAACAAACTCATCTTTGGCAGCAGAGCCTGCCTGGGGAAAGGGGTGGGAGGGCAAGCAAGCCCCCTCCCCTCCTCTTCCCCTGTCTTTTCCCTGGACCCTCTGGGTGACAGCTGGTGGGGGGTGAGGAGGCAACCACAGCTCTCCACGCTCTGCCAGTACCCTCCTCTGGTGGGCCAGCATCTGCTTGTTTCCCATTGACTCCCAGGTCTCAGGCAGGCCAGGACCCAGCTGTGCACATCTGGAGTTAGCTTGGCTCCAGCCAGCAGTTCCCGAGGACTCCACTCTCTTGGGGTGGTGCTGACGGGAGAAGGGGGAGGGGAGCAGGAGCCAGCCCGGGGCCAGTGTGGTCAGCAGCAGGAAGGGCAGGAGGCCTGGCGTCCCCAGCAGCCCTCAGGGGACCTCCTCCAGGAGCTGTGCCTGTGAACAGGAGGGCCGGCAGTCTTGGGGGCCCGTGCGGAGCCCGGCGGGAGACGCCGCCTTTTCCATGGGAAACTGCTGGGAATGTTTCTCTACCACGCGTGTCCCGGGCTGCTGGCTGACCCCTGCTTCCCATTCCCGCCTCCGCTCCTCTCGTTCCTTCCTACTCCAGCCTTGCCTCCGCCTCTCCATTCAGCTCCCAGAGTCAGCCTCCCCTTGGGGGCCCAGGGAGGCTGAGTGTTCCCAACCGCCACGTCTGGGGGCTAGCCCTCCCCTCACGCTCCAAGTCAGCAGGAGTCACAGAGGGCGGCCACCCTCCTTGAGCCACCTCCTGGGCCCAGAACTGGAAGCCCAGCCTCCAGGTCAGCCTGGAAGTAAACATCCCTTACTTGAGTGCATGTGAGTGACACCCATTAGCTCCCTCGTGGGCTGGGGCATGTGTGTGTATGTGTCCTCGTGATCCTCCTGGCTCTAGCTCTGTTGAGGCAGAGGGCATTTAGCAGCACTGGTCGGCATGAGATGAGAAAACAGCCCCTTGTGATTGGTACCCAGGGAGGATTGGCACCCAGGGAGGAAGTGGCTGGGCTGGCCTGGGCTGCCTCTGAGCCTGACGATTGGACCTTCCCGCTGGGAGCCTCTGGCGCCTCTCTGCCTGGGCAACTGTGGCTTTGGGTGCTCTGGGCACTCCCTGGCTCTAGGGAAGGGGAAGGCTCTTTGGGAGGATTTTTGCTCAGGGCCCATGGCTCTGCGCAGCCTGAAGTCACAGGGGAGCCATCTTGAAGGCCTTTTCCTATTATGCCTATTCTTACATGTCAGACCCCAGAGTTGGCCTGCCTCAAGTGTGCCTGCCCAGGTGGTCAGCCCCAGGGCCCCAGGAGAGATAGGACAGGATAGGACATGGCGGGGAGGCTGCCCAGCCCACCCTCGCCCGCCTCCTCACGTGGTGGCGTTGGGGACCTGCTGCACCCAGCCCACTTCCTTGTAGGCAGCGGTCACGTGGCTGTAGATGAGGCCACGCAGCTTGGCCCAGGCTCTCTGCGTCTCAGGTGGGAAGTCATTGGCAAATTCTTCGGCGACCACCTCCAGAATGACCCCAGAGAGGATCTGGGGGCAAAGGGAGGAAGGGGGAGTGAACGCCTGGGCACCCTGCGTCCCGCAACCCCCGGGCCCCTCTGCCCCATGTGTGGCCAAGAGGATCATTCTTTTTTTTTTTTTTTTTTTTTTGAGACGGAGTCTCGCTCTGTCGCCCAGGCTGGAGTGCAGTGGCACCATCTCGGCTCACTATAAGCTCCGCCTCCCGGGTTTACGCCATTCTCCTGCCTCAGCCTCCCGAGTAGCTGGGACTACAGGCGCCCGCCACCTCGCCCGGCTAGGTTTTTTTTTTTTGTATTTTTTAGTAGAGACGGGGTTTCACTGTGTTAGCCAGGATGGTCTCGATCTCCTGACCTCGTGATCCGCCCGTCTCGGCCTCCCAAAGTGCTGGGATTACAGGCTTGAGCCACCGCGCCCGGCCAAGAGGATCATTCTTAACACAACAGTCTGGCAGCTTTGGGAACCCAGTGCTCTCAGGACAAGGGTTGCCCTGGACTGAACCCCTCCATCCTGCTGCTGGGCACTGCCCTTCCCTCTCACAGCCGCTCGGGGGATCACCTCTGCTGCCCCAGGGAGCCCTCCCAGAGCCTGCGAGCTGCAGATGGCAATGAGGTGTGGGCGGTGGCGGCTCTGCAGCAGATCAGGGCGCATACCTTGAAGTACACTGGCTCCACCTTGTGCTTGAGGGCATGGGCTTTCCCCACAAGGGCCAGCACAGAGGACACCTTGTCGGGGTCGTGCAGGTTCTCCACGACAGTGTTGAGGGCCCCCATGACTCGGCAGGCGTGCTTCCGCAGCTGGGGGCTCCGCTCCATCTCCAGGGGTTCCTCCATGTGCTTGAACTGGCTGAAGTACTGCTTGGCCGAGGGGAAGTTCACAAAGAACCTGGCAAGAGGAACAGGGGTGGTTGCTAAAGCTGGAGGCTGCCTCGGGCCCACCCTGAAGCTGCCAGGACAGTGGGGGCTGAAGAAGTGGACCCCAGTCTCCCCCACCCCTGCACCATCACTGTTTTCACTACCATCCGTAGACCTCAGCATAGACCCTTCTCGCTCTGGCCAAGCCGGCTTGCCCCTACCAAGTCTGGCCGTGTCTATCTGCCGGGCTTGTTCAGGCTGGTGGCTTCCTCTCCCAGGCCTCTGTCTTCCTCGCTTCTTGCTTCCTTCCCAAACTCTACACCCTCTTCAGGGCCTGCTCTAGTCATAGCTGAGAGGGTAAGAGCTCAGGTTCTGGAACCATGAGTTGATCTGAAATTAAATCCTCTCCAGTTGGTCTGAAACTGTTCTGATTCTCCCAAAATACTGCTTTCATGAAGTCATGCTCATGCTCGAAAACATTCAATGGCTCCCTATTGTCTGCCAAAGCGAAACTCCTTAACCGAGCATTCCAGACTTCTGAACTGTCCCCCACCCACTTCTTCAAACTCATGTCCACATTCCCCACTATACTCACATCATCCCTGTCCTGGCTCAGTGGCTTTACTTACCGTTGGGAAAATGTTCCTCGGGTGAGCCACATTCCTTTCTACTACCCTTTTCCTGTGTCAGACATACCTTACCTGGAGCAGACTGGCCCAGGCGAAATGCTTTGCCCCCGAGGCCATTGGCACCACTCAGGTGACCTTCCCTGCCCTCCTTCCAGCCTGTCAGACGGGATCCCAAGGCTCTCACACACCCTCTGATCCCCTGCCCTAGCTGGGGCACTGCAGTGTGGAAAATGACGGCTTTTTTTTTTTTGAGATGGAGTCTCACTCTGTTGTCCAGGCTGGAGTGCAGTGGTGCAATCTTGGCTCACTGCAATCTCTGCCTCCTGGGTTCAAGTGATTCTCTTGCCTTCGCTTCCTGAGTAGCTGGGACTACAGGCATCTGTCACCACTCCTGGCTAATTTTTTGTATTTTTAGTAGAGACCAGGCTGGAGTGCAGTGGTGCAATCTTGGCTCACTGCAACCTCTGCCTCCTGGGTTCAAGTGATTCTCTTGCCTCAGCTTCCTGAGTAGCTGGAACTACAGGCATCCATCACCACGCCCTGCTAGCTAATTTTTTGTATTTTTAGTAGAGATGGGGTTTCACCATGTTGGAGGCTGGTCTCAAATTCCTGACCTCAGGTGATCCGCCTGCCTCAGCCTCCCAGAGTGCTGGGATTACAGGTGTGAGCCACCACGCCCGGCCGACAATGACTTTTGTACCTCCTCTCCCTGTCGAGGCTGGACATCATGTGAGACACGGGCATGGACTCAATCAGAACTTACATAACTTCAGTGAATCCCCAGAAAATGTATGGAGTGTCCTGGACCTGTTCTTCCAGGTGGTTCTGCCCCTTCATGTGTCCCCTTTGTGATCAGAGAGAGCTGATAATTTGCGGAAGCAGCCCTTTGGCCAGGAGTCGAGTCTCAGATGTGAGGGCTAGAACAGATGTGGCGAGGGCATCTGGCCGGGTCGTCCCTGCTGGTGGTGGAGCTGCTATTGGCGGGGGAACTTTGCACAGTGACCAGGGCACAGTCTGTGTGGAGACTCAGGAGGGCCCCTCCCAGAGGCCAACTGTGATCTTGGGCAAACTGCTTCCAAGCTCCCTGTCTGCAGAAGGGCGAGAGGAGGGCTCCGCTCACTGCTTCATGGATACACGGGTGAGGACATGTGAGGCGATGGGTTTGAAAATACATTGAATTTTCTGGAGAAGCACTGTAATGAGGGACAAATGTGAAAAACCCAATTTGGACTTAAACGAGCATCTCAAACTTTGGAGGTTTTACAATTGCAATAAAAAATAATGATATGGCCAGGCACGGTGGCTCACGCCTGTAATTCTAGCACTTTACGATGCCAAGGCGGGTGGACTGCTTGAGCTCAGGCATTTGAGACCAGCCTGGGCAATGTGGCAAACCCTGTCTCTACAAAATACAAAAAATTAGCCAGGTATGGTGGCGCACACCTTTGATTCCAGCTACTCAGGAGTCTAAAGTGAGAGGATCACTTGAACCCAGGAGGGCAAGGCTGCAGGGAGCCAAGATTGTGCCATTGCACTCCAGCCTGGGTGACAGAGTGAGACCCTGAATCAAAAGAAATAATGATGATAATAATAATAAAAGGCCAGGTGTGGTGGCTTATGCCTGTAATCCCAGAACTCCGGGAGGCCAAGGCAGGAAAATCACTTGAGGCCAGGAGTTCGAGACTAGCCTGGGCAACATAGTGAGATCCTGTCTCCAGAAAAAAAGAAAGAAATTGGCTGGGTGGGGTGGTGACCATCTGTACTCCTAGCCACTTGGGAGGCTGCAGCAGGAAGATCCGATCGCATCATGAGCCCAGGATTGGAGGCTGCAGTGAACCTTGATGGCACCACTGCACTCCAGCTTGGGTGACAGAGCAAGACCCTGACACAAAATATTAACAATGATATATATATATATTTGCCTGATGTGTTACAATGTTTTTGTACTTTTTCTTTTCTTTTTTCTGTTTGAGACAGAATCTTACTCTGTTGTCCAGGCTGGAGTGCAGTGGCACAATCTTGGCTCACTGCAACCTCTGCCTACCGGGTTCAAGGGATTCTCCTGCCTCAGACTCCCAAGTTAGCTGGGATTACAGGTACCCGCCACCACACCTGGCTAATTTTTGTCTTTTTAGTAGAGACAGGGTTTCACCATGCTGGCCAGGCTGGTGATGAACTCCTGACCTCCGGTGATCTGCCTGCCTCAGCCTCCCAAAGTGCTGGGATTACAGGTGTGAGCCACCATGCCCGGCCTGTTACTGTATTTAATTGTCACAACTAAGCAGGTATTACTTCTATTTTACTGATGAGGAAAGAACAGGGAACATTTATTGAGCACTTACGGTATGATCTCACGAATCCTTGCAATTCTCTCCTGAGATAGGCACTGTTTTAATCCCCATCCTATGAATTAGGAATTGATGTCCAAGATTGCCCAACGAAGTAGATGGCAGCGCCAGGAAAGGGCCCAGGCAGGCCCTACTTTGACAGTTTCCCCACACTGCCTGGAGAGACAGCTGTGCCAGGGGATCGTGGCCTGGTAACCAGGTGTCTCCTGCCTCAACACCCACCACCGGGTTGTGGCCCTGAGGAACAACAGTCTCAGGGAGCCCCTACCCAGACCCTCCATGGTTCTGTCGCCCCTGGGGCCCATGTGCCTGGCTCCTTCCTCCTGGCTCCGCGGTGTTTCCACCTGAGACCCTCCCGATCTCAGCCTGTGCTGCCAGGGAGGAGTCTCCACAGCCAGCCCTGGGGAGTTTCTCAGCTCCCAGAGACATCTGGGCTTCCAAGAGAGCCTGAAATAGGCCTGTCTGAGTGTGAGGAGGAAGGTGTCAGAGTTACAACCAGGAGGGAGGGTGGGTGTTCCCTCTTGGTCTCCTCCTTAGCAGGGAATGGAAGTGTGGGGTCTGCCTCAGGCTCCAAAAGCAACGCCTCCTCCACCCCCACCAACGTGGCAACTTCTCCAGGTTGGGGATGTGGAGGTGCAGTTGTCTTCTTCCTGCCCTGCAGGCTCATAAGGGCTGACAGCACTGGCCTGGCACAGTGGGGAGGGCAGAGGTGAGAGTGCTGGCCAGAGGGCTGCAGCTGGGGCCTTGACCTTGAGGATGTGTACGTTGTGTGTGGGAAGACAGGGCGTGTGTCAAGACTGACGGGCCTAGGATCTGAGGAGGGACCTTCAGGAGCCCTTTCCTCCCCTTCCCCCACTGCCCAGGCCCTGGACAGAGACAGGAGGAGAGAAAAAGGAAAGCAAAGCCCTGCGGGGCTTGGGCTGGCAGGGAGTGGCTGAGACAAAGCTGGGCCAGGCTGTCCTGGGGCTGGGCTCTAGTCCACACAGAAGTGGAGTCAGAGTAGTGAGGGGTTACTCTGGGCACTGAGCGCATTGGTAATGACCTCCCCCAGCCCAGGCCCAGGCCCCTCTGCGAGACAGGAGTGGGGAACTGGAAGAGGGATGTAGAGAGAGAAAGAAATCCTTGCTGAAAACTCGGACTGCCCAGACATGGCCCTGGTCTCGGTGTTTCATTTCCCCCTTGGCATGTGCCCTTCCCTGGTCCCCTTCCTGGGGAGGGTCAGTGGTGCCCCGAGATGCGGATGGTGAGCCCTTCCTCCACGTATCTGCACAGGTACATGCCAGGGGTTGGGACAGAAAACCTCCAAGGTCCTGAAGACCCTGCCTCACTTCTTCATGGTGACACATGAGTGTGCCAGATGCATGCGAGGCCGGTGGGCTGCAGGTGCTGACACGCAGCTGACGGCGCCCTCCGAGGATGCAGTCTGGCGCGTCTGCGGCTCTGCTACCCACTGTGTGCTTGTATGGGTGCCAGCATGTGTGGGGATCAGTGGTTCCGAGCGTCTGAGGCCCTAGTATCCCACTGTCCCTCTTAGCTTCCTGCCACTCCCGGCTGTGTTGCTGGGCCTGGGGGCTGCTGAGATAGCTGCCCTATCCTCAGGAGCGCTCCTGTAACTCCTCAGAACCTTTAGAAAGGCTTCCTGCTCTTTTTCCACCAAAATCTGCTTCTGAGTTGGAATCAGGGCATATCATGGTGGAACTGGATAGGTCCCAGGCTTGGGAGAGGCCACAGGGAGAAGAAGCTGGAGACGGAGCTGGCCTGGGAGTCAGGCATGCACTAAAGCTGCCCTTCCAGAGTGAGGCTTCACCCCGTCTGCACATGACAAGGCTGCCCTACTCTGTCCTAGATTTGACCACTTTCCTCTGCCAAGAACAGGGGCTTGAGGGTGAGCATGGTCTGGGGCTCCTCTGCCTGCACCCCCAGCGACCAGCACGTGTGGGAAGAGAGCATGGATTTGTAACTAGAGTCAGTGACTAGCTTTCGAGGCTTGGACACATCACCTCTATGAGGATAGTGTGTGTGCTCTATGCACAGGTGTGTGAAGAACGGGGTGCTCTCTGTTTGTGGGTTTCTCGGGGGCATGTGGTGCCTGAATGACCCCTAAGCCCAAACCACTGCATTTCCTCCCTAGGTGGGGGGTTTTAGGGTTAGGCCCTGTCTCCTGAAGCTTCTCTCTTCTTCCCCTCACCCTCCTAACTCAGCAGGGATTGTATCCTAGGGGACTGTTTGCTTCTCCACTCCCCTGTGCCCGCCCTGGGAGCTCCTGCTGGCCCATGCCATCCAGCAGGAAGAGGGCAGCCGGGAACACTGGACCCCCGTGCTCTCCTTCTCAACCTCTGCTCTTTGCTCTCTGTTCTTCCAAGAGGCTTTGAATCTGGCAAGCGGCGGAGCTGGAGAGAGGGGTCTGCTCCTCTTTGTCCCCCTTCTGAGTTGAGCCTCGGTTTTCCCATCTCTAAAATGGGGAGCCCCTGCTACTCCCTTTGAAAGGCCAGAAAAATGTGTGTGTCTGACAGCTTGACTGGGTGTCTGGGGTCGCTGGCCGAGCAAGGAGTTCTGAGGCCGGGGAGAGGAGGAGGAATGAGGTGCTCTCCTGCATCTGGTTCCTAGTTCCTGGTGAGCAGCGCGCTGGAGCCAGGGAAGGCTCAACCAAGGCTTCGTTCACCCCAAGGCGCCCCACGCTGCCTGCCCCGCCGACCTCGGACCGGCCCCATTCGCGGCTGGGGAGGTGGCGCTGGAGCTCGGACCCGGGCCCAGCCCGCCTCTGCCCGGAGCCGCTACCGCCCTCCCTGCCCAGGGCCCGGCCAGGCCGGGCGACACCTACCTCACCAGGATGGCCACCCCCACGTCCTCGCAGTTGGCATAGAGCCGGGCCCACGTAGCCTGCACCGCCTTCCTCTCCGCCTCGGACAGCTCCTCGCTCCTCTCCCTGCGCTCGATCTCCATCTCGCCTGGCACTTTCTCCATGAGGAGCTCCAAGCCCAGCCCGGCTTTGCTCGGCGGCAGCGGTGGCGGGGCGCGGGGCGCTGGGCGCGGGGCGCGGGGCGCCAGGAGCCGGGGCCGGCTGCGTGCGCGGCGGGCGGGCGAGGGGTAGAGCGCGGAGGGAGGGAGCGTGTGTCTGTGCGCGCCGGGTGTGTGTGTGTGTGTGCGTGCGTGTGTGCAGGGTATATGTGCGGGGGGCGGGGGACCGCCAGCGGGGGGGCGGGGATGTGGTCTGCTGGAAAATGTTTAAAAAAACAAATCCGCTCCAAACCCCCAGCCCCGTGTGCGTGAGCCAATGCCGGCAAGGTGAAGGCTGCGCGGGGTGGGGACGACGCGACTGCCGCCCGCCCACCCGCAGGCCACGGCAGAGTTGCACCGCGGGGCGGGGCTCGGGTAGGTGTGGCCGGGGCGCTGGGGGTCCCCGGAGGAATGGGCGGTCACGCGGCGCTGGGCGGCGCGGGCCGCACAGGAGTGCGCCTGGGCGGGCGCGAGCTGGGAGCCCTGGGTCCCGGGTCCCAGTGCTTGCGGCGTCGCGTGTGTGCGCGTGCAGACCCTTCCTGCGGCGGGGAACTGACTTAAAGTCCAACACTCCCGAGCTTTCGCGGCAAGGCCGACCGCCAGCCCGCCCGTGTGGGCGAACGCGAGCCCCTCCGGCAGCCGCCGCGGACCAAGCTGGGCTCCCCTCGCCCGGGCCTCTCCCCCAGCCCCCGAGCCAGCAGCTGGGGGCCGCGGCGCCACTCCCACACCTCTGGACGCCCAGGCTCTGAGGGGTTAGCACGGGTCGTTCCCCCCACCCGCCCACCGCCCCGGCTGTCGGAACTTGAGCGCACCTCCGACCTCGGGCGCCAGAGGCCTGCTCTCCCTTTCCTACCCCCCAGCACCTCCATGCCCTTGGTGCACGCACGCGGCAGCGGCGGCCAGAAGTCCCCCGTGGCTTATGAATGACACGGACAGGCAAGAACCAGGCGCTGCCCTGAATTCTGGCCCAGCTGGTGGCGGAGGAAGTCTGGAGAGGCACCGGATAGGGCAGAGGGGACCTGGCGGTCGAAAAGTCTTGAGGAAGCCGCAGGCCGCTGGGGACACCTCAGCCACCACCAAGGGCCCGATTCTGGGCCTAGGGGAAGCAAATCCTTCCTCCTGGTGGGCCCTGTCCAGGGCAGTGTGAGATTGGGCCAGAGGTGGGGGAGAATCCCATAGTGCCTGCCCTGCAGCGGCTGCTCAGTCCTGTGGACAGCCTGAGGCCAGACAGGGCCTGGCAGTGTCAGGAAGAGATGTCACTCAGGCTCCCGGTGACCATTGTCCTCACTCAAGACTTGATGTCCCATTGCCCGAGCATTGCTAAGGGTTGGCTCTGCGCTTTCGCTATGGTTCGTGTATTTATTCTTAAAATCTGACTTTAAGGTCCGGGGGAGGCAAGGAGGACTCACCCTGGCCAGCCTCAGCTGCAGCCTGGGCCCTTCCTGGGAGCTCAGGGTTCAGGTGCCTGGGGGACCTTGGGGCAGTGCCTCTGACACTGCTTCCCCCTTGCTGAGGGAAGGAAAATCTAATGGCTCCTGGGGGTCTTGGAGGGGGTGGAGGGGAGTGGGCAGGTTCAGATTCTCACATCACTCCCAGACCCATGTCTCAGCATGGCCATGACTGGCTCCATGCTCCGCATACACACCCAACAGTTTCCCAAAGTTGGTGTGACCAAGTGGCTGCCCAACAGGTCCCCTTGGGATGTGGAAAGAAAATAGGAGAAATTTTATATCTCATCCTTTGCAAATGTAATGTAGTCATATGATGTAGGAATGAATCTGTAGAGTAGTCTAGCCTATAATTTGTAAGTGGCTGCCCCTATCTATTTTGTGAATGCACACTTGAATCCTGCCTTTTACTGAAGAGGGTGTGTAATCAGCAAAGTTTGGAGAGGATTGTCCAGAGGGTAAAACTGCCAGCCCTTCACTGTTGAGTCTCCCCTATCTCTCTGGCTTCATTCTCGAATATCCCTCCCCTTTCTTCCTCCTCTCCTGATGCTTCCACGGTGACATCATTGCTTCACCTCCACTCACCTTGCAGTTACTGGCAGATGCTCCATGCTTTCATGTCAGTAGCTTCGGCAGCATCTTCTGTCTGAGGGCTTCTCTGCCTTGCGCACTGCAAATTCAGATGCCCTTGCTCCTCTTTAGGCCCTTGCCCTGATGCCTGCAACTCTGAAAGTGCCCTGTAGGCGCCTTGAATAACTCCTGGGTCACTCTACTGCAGTCATTGTACTTGACAGCACATTTGTCTAGACTGGCAGCTCCTTGCAAGCAAGGCCCAGTCTCATCAGATTGACACTCCGAATACGTGCTCAATGCCACACTCCACGCCTTGACCCTACCGCTGGAGGGGAGAACCTGGGCCCAGCGAGCTTAATCAGTCCTCACAAGGTCGCGGCCGCTGACCCACTAATCAGCTTGAGCCTCCTAATCCATCCCCAGCAGGAACCGCAGGACAGACGGCAGTGGCTCCTGAGAGCTGGCTGGGGCCATTTTGGCCCCTCGCCTGTGGCCTTCTGCAGACTTGGTCTGGGAGGGGATGGGGCAGCTGCGCCATGTGCACCACCCTTTTCCTGCTCAGCACCCTGGCCATGCTCTGGCGCCGCCGATTTGCCAACCGAGTCCAACCGTGAGAAACTGACCGGGCTATGGCTGGCGGTTGGTGGTGGTTGGGGGGAACCATGGGGCTGGGCTGCCACCAAGCTGAAGGTGGGCAGAGGCTGCCTGGACCTTCAGGGGGGCTGGGAGGGCATTTTGAGGAACCCTTGAGAGCTCAGTCTCAGAGCAGGGGAACTTACAGCTTCAAAGGCTCTAGTTGCAGCCTCCAGTCCCATAGCCCAATACGGCCGGGACCTGTGGAGGGACAGGGAGGGACTGGGCACAGCCACAGCTCTTCCTGCCTACTCTTGCTCCCACAGAGAGCCCAGCGACGTGGATGGGGCAGCTAGGGGCAGCAGCGTGGACGCAGACCCTCAGTCCTCAGGCAGGTAAGGCAGGAGTCTGGGCTGGGGGAGGGAGGGTGCTGCCAAGGAAGCTGCGGCTGTGCACGCCTGGGGGTGCACGTGTATGCCTGTCTGCGCGCCTGTCCGTGCACCGTATCCTGGCCCTTGCCCTAGGCACCCTGCTCCCTGTCCGCCTGGTGGGCAGGCTAGATGTCTGTTTTCTGCGATTGGGAATGGGAGCCCTCAGCCCGCTCCTCTGGACCAAAGCCGCTGTTTTTCTATCTCCAGTAAGGGGCGGTCCCCCGGGGCACCTTCTGTCGGAAGGCACAGGGAAGTGGAGGGAGGGAAGAGGCAGGAGTAGGTAGCTCTGTGTGGCTTTGCTCTCCTTTCCTTGCCCTTCCCCCTCCTCCTCCTCTGCCCCCGCCCCGCCTCGGCTCCGCTGCCTGAGCCTCCAGCAGGATTCGCTGTCCAGTCCCCAATAGAAGGCGCGGGAGGAGCATGACATCATCAGCATTGAGTGCCATTGGCTGGGTAGCCCCTGCGGGCAGGACGCTGTCTCCAGTGGCCAGAAAGTTAACTCTTCCCTAGGCTGCAGCCATGTGGTCTTTAGGGGGTGAAGTTGGGGGAACTTCCAGACTTTTCCTTCCCTGGGTGCCCAGTGTCGTTTGATGATAGGGGCGCCTAGCCCAACGAAACACTGGAAAAAATCAGCAAATCTTTATGACGTTCCAGTGCATGAACGGTTCCTTCTGTGCCTATGGACTCACCTAGCACGGGAGACCTGTCTGAAGAGTGACTTTTTTGCTCCCAGTGAAACAAAGAGTAAAAAAGATCCGATGACATCTTTGGGTCAGGGCCCACTGGTAGGAGGGTGTCTCCACACAGGGAGGACTCAGGTGGCGGGTACTGTGACCATCCATGTCTGAGTGGGGACCTGCCAGCAATGCGTCTCTTTGATATGCGGAAACTGGCAACCGAGAGAACTTCAGTCTTTCTGTCTTCTGTCATCTGAGTCCTGGGATTCTGAGTCCTGAGATTCTGATGATCAGAAGGCCCAGTGGGAAGCCCTGGGCCTGTACAGGAAACGGCGGCATTTCTGTGACACCTCAACTCGATAGGCCAGCTGGGATCATCATAATAGAGCCTGATTGATATCATTAGTTAAATCAGCTAAAATGACCACCCCTGGGCCTCCCCTGATAGGAGGCCCTCAAATGCTAAGTGGTCCACGCTATTGAGCCCAGGTCTGGAGTTGGGCAGGGATAATTTAAATCCTGGCTTCCCTCTTACTAATGGAAAGACTATGGGGGAAATTTACAAAAACAATCGGTTTATTTATATGTAAACTAGGATTAATAACAGAGTGGTTGCCAGGTTTTCGTGAGGGTGCAGAGTGATTGCTCCATAAATGCTAGCAGCTGTCTTGTTTCATGCTCAGGACCTGTGCTTTAGTTTTCTCCAGAGGTTTCTTATATATTAAGTCGCTCGGAAGGCTCAGTGACCCCAGAGGATTGGCAGGACATGTGGTTTTAATCTTTGGTTAATGGTTGTGGAAACGGAGGGACAGGGAGATTTAGGTGGCTTGCTCCCGATCATCTATCTCATTTGTGGTTCATGTGGGACGTTCAGGCCCCTGACTTCCAGGCAGGGTCTCTTCTACATGAAATGGACCTGGACCTCCTGGCAGGAGAGAAAAGGCCAAATCTGAGGACCATCTGGCCAGGCCAGGCCTGGCGTGACTTAGCCAGAAGGAAGCAGTTGCCTATTAACTCCCTGGGACCCAGTTAACTGGAAAAATTGGTCTGACATCGAGGAACCACCTGCCGATGGCTGCCGTGGAGGGCTGGCGGTGGGGGTGACATTTCTACTCTCCAGTCACACTGTCCTAAATGCCAACTGATTCCTTAGGTGGTCCTGCCCCTGAATATTGGGGTGAATTGATAGGGATGGGAGGAGGAGGAAGAGGAGAGTCAGAAACATGGGAAGGTCGTGCCCTTCAATCCTGACCCAGTGCTTTCCTCTGTTTAGGGAGAAAGAACCTCTGAAGTAAGCCCTCACCTCTGCAGGTGGGGCTCAGGCCCAGAGACTGGGATCAGCTGGCCCAGGCAGGTAGGGCAGGGCTGGGAGCTGGGGAGGGCAGAGGGCAAGGCTGGGGACAGGCAGGAAGAAATAGGCAAGGCCTGGCCATGTGGGAGGATAGCAGGCAGTGTTCAGCTCTTGTGGTCACTGATGGAGGTTCAAAGTAGGCAGATGGACTCGTGCCTTTGGCTGCTACCTTGAGTCTGTTGTGTTCCAGGCCATGGGGCAAGGGTTAGTTTGAAGAGAACCAGGTGTGGTTTGACCATATTTTCTAGGCTTGGGGATGGCAAGGTGGTCGTGCTGGGGCATGAGGGCAGTGTCGGAGGACGTCCAAGGGAGAGGCGGTGTTCTGGGACATCCACTCTGAAATGCAAGTCTCATCCCCAGGTGTGGGAGAAGTGCTGATCTGTTCTGGTTTTCTGTTTCAGCTCAGGTCCTGGTTCGTCCCCTAGCCCAGGAGGATGCTGTGGGAGCCGGAGCAGCAGCAAGAGGGAGAATGGGGGGAAGCAGCACTAGAGAAGGTAGATGCCAGTCTCCCCTTCCCGCAGGCCCTGGGTATGGGCTCCTGAGCAGGACCTGGCCGGGGCTGGCAGAAAGAGCAGACATGCTCCCTGTTCTAGGACGGGCTTCCTTCCCTCTGAGTTCCTGAGGCTTCTCTGAGGGACTGCTAAGCCTGAGAAAACCTAGGGTGAGGGACTTGCTGGGTCCACCAGGCTGATTCCGGGGCAGCCAACAGCCCAGGCAAGAGGTAGGAATAAATAAGGAGTGAGGAGACCCCAGGAGCAAGGGACAGCTGATAGCTCACGTTTACTAAGCAAGGGCTTCCATTCATTCTGTAATTTAATCCTCAGTCACCCACAGAGCCTGGTAATGTTATTATCCACAATTTCTAAATGGGAAAACACAGAGAGAGGTTAAATAATTTGCCCAACGTCACCTAGCTAGGAAGTGGAGGCTCCCAGGCTCACACTGGAGCTGCAGGGCCCACGCTCCTACCCACCATGGCAGGCGGCCTCCCCCTGGAACCCAACACAGTTTGCACGGGTTGGGGGTGGTTTGCTGGCCTGGCTGACTGCCTGTCAGCCCAGGAGCTATTCTGTTAAGCCTCCACTTGTGGTCCGAGGTGCTGGTGTCAGTTTGCCACAGCGGCACTTGCTTCTGTGTCATTTGCCTTTCCCCAGTTCCCAGAGCTCATCCTGTCACTGGCTGCTCTGCTGAAATTATCAATAAGAAATGCCAGTTGGATCTGTGACATGTCTGCCTGCAGCTGGATGGGAGCAACTGACAGCTTGTCCTCCGAATGTGTTTTCTGTATGTGCACGAGCGCATGTGTTCCAAACGGGCAGTAGCGTGTGGGAAGGAAAAACCCTGACACTTGTTTTTGTCAATTTGCTGATGCTCAGTCCCGGCGGCTGCCTTCTTTGCCCCCAGCTGCTCTGCCATTTCTTTTTTTCCAATCGTGCGCGATCCTGAGCAGAGATAAAAGCAGATTTCCGCTTCTGCTCCCAGATCCAGGCGCAGACCCTGCAGGCAGCTGCTCCAGACATCTCACAGCTATTAGTCTTCAAAAGCCCCCCGTGCCTCTGTGCACACACGTCTCTCCTCCCCAGCCAGCCCCCTCCCAGCCCAGTGGTGTTGTCTCTGCCTGGCTGGCCCTTGCCCTTGACTTCCAGGCAGTAGGAGATGGAGTTCTCTAGACAGCAGCACCTCAGCCGCTGCTCCGCCTCTGAAGGGAGGGAAGGGAAAGGGTGAGGGATGCCACAGAGGAGAGGGAACCGCTGGGGAGGTGCTCAGGGTGGGGGAGGAGGTGTACCCCGCTGGGGAGGGGCTGCTGGTACCTCGGGGAGCCTGGCTGGGATGTGTGCGAAGGCAGTTCTGTGGGAGCCTCTCAAAGTAGGGCAGGCAGGAGGCAGGGGGAAAGTCACACTAGGGAAGGAGCCTGCAGAGGCAAAGCCACAGTGCCAGCCTGACCCAGGCCGTGAGCCCGTGACCGTCTGTCTCAGCTCCTGTCAGCCTGTCCCTCTCTTTGGAGGCATTGGCCTTCCTGGTGACAGGCCTGTCAGGCTGAGGGCCAGAGGGCACTGTTCCTGGGACCCCGTCTGTGTTCCCCGATCCTATCTGCATTTATTCTCTAATCTATTTGCCATGTTCCTGTCACCTCATCCTTGCTGCCATTTCCAAGTTGCCCACTCCTTCCACTGGTGTGAGGAATTGTCAGGCCAAGGTCATGGAGCTGGCTCATGGCCCAGATGCACCTCCCCAGGGCAGCGCCCCTCCACAGCCCTGTTCCAAGAACCTGCACCGGAGGCGTTGGCTGCTCCAGGGATCCCATTCAGATGAAGGGCGGGAAAGAGGGAGGAAGGGGCTGTTGGCGGCCAGAGGGGCTGTAGTTGCCTGGGCTTGGAGGTTGCCTGGGCAGCTGGGGTGCCATGTGGGCTGGGTGGGGGGGCTGTCTCCCCCAGGGAGCAGGCTGGCTTTGGTGAGAGCAGATTGTGTTTACACCTTCCCCGCACACCCAGCCCACGCTCGCCTCTTATTCCCGGGGCCTCTCCCACCCCTGGGCTCTCTGCGCAATCTGTACATTTGCAGCTTCTGCTGCAGAAAGTTGCCTCTCTCAGCCTAGAGCTCCCCACAGAAGGCTCCTGGGACCTGGGTGCCCCTTCCTCGGCCCACTGGCTCCCATCACAGGGGTTAGCATGAAGCTCAGGGCAAGGGTGGACCTCCAAATGGGGAAACTGCTTAAATCCTGACTACGACACTGTCCCCACAGAGGCTGAGTCCTTTGGCTGAGTCCTTTTTCCTCCCTTTCCTTGCAAAGAGCCGTTGCTTGGGAATGGGAGCAGGCATGCTCAGCGGCTTGGGAGAGGGCAAATAAAGGGCAACTACAGAGGGAGAGCTGAGGCAAAGGGTGGGGTCCCTTCTGGTCCAGGGTGCTGGCTACTGTGAAATAACAGAGTCCAAGAGCAAGGTGTCCAGAGTCAGAGCTCCTGGGTGTGAACCTTGTTCCACCAGGACATCCTACCTCTGTGGCCTGTGTTTCTGAACACCTCTGTGCCTCAGTTTCTTTAGCTGTAGGATGCAGATCCTACTGGTATCTGTGTCTTAGAGTTGTTGTAAGGGTTGATTAGATAATGCGTGGAAGATGTTTAGCACATTGGGTAAGTGTCCCATATATGTGAGCTGGCACAATCCGGTTTGAACTGTAAATTACTGAACAGTGGTAGATTCAGGATGGCTAGAGTTCCTCACATCCTCACTCTGTGGTCCTTCCTGCTGTCTCTCCACATACACAGAGCTGGGCGACCAGTAGTTCTGCAACAGACTAGAGGATGGCAGAGGGTGGCATTGCTGGGGTGGGGAAGCCCCCTCTAAGCCTGTACTGGAGAAGACCACCTCTACCTCTCTGTGCCCGGAACCGTGTCCCAACCTCCAGTGGGGCCTCGACCTGGACCCCACCACTCCCAGCTGGCTCTGCTTCCGGAATGAACCTTAGCTCCTTGACAAGATGGGAGGCGCTGCCCTGCTGTGGTGCCTTCCTCCGTGTGAATGCTAATCTCTCTGCTGGGGGAGCCTGAGTGACAGGGAAAGGCTGCTTGGAGCTGCAGGGCGGCTGAGGGCAGCAGCCAGGAGCAGGGAGGTGCTGCTCCTGCGACTGAGGCTCAGGGTGGCTGCCAGTCTGTCCTGGAGACTGGAGCATGACCAGGGAACTAATGAGGTGGCGGGGGTATGGTGGGGGCGAGGGAAGTAGCCACCACAGCTGTGGCTGTCCACTGTCACCCTGGGGAGTACCCACCCACTCCAAGTGTGCGGTTGTGTGTGTGTGTGTGTGATTGTGTGTGTCTGGTTGTGGGTGTGTGTGTGGTTGTGTGTGTCTGGTTGTGTGTGTGTGTGGGTGCACAGACAGTCCTGGGCAAGGGCAAACAGCAGAGGTGCTGGGCCGAGACTAGATGGGTAGGGCACGGTGCCCGCTCTGAGACAGGCATGATGGCGAGAGAGCGAACCCTGCTGGTTCCTCAGGCTCCCATAGCCCCTCTGCTGTTGGGAAGAAGCCCAAGACCTAGAGCTAGAAGAAGATAATGCTTCTTTGTGAACCTCAGAAGAACATCAAAGTGGTTTGCACGGAAGCTTATGTTAATATAATGATGATACTAACCATATGATTAATAACCACTAACATGCATTGGGCGCTTACTATGTGCTAGGCACCGTGCCAGCTGCTATATTTTACGCACTGTTTCATTTATGCGGCAGGAACGGTTATCGTTTATCCAATAAGGAAAGTGAGGTTCACCGAACTTGCTTAAGGTCACACTCATAGCTGGCAGCGAAGCCAGGACCTGAGCCTGGGAAATTTGATGCCAAAGCTTGGGATAGAGGGGGCCGAGTCTCGAGTTGGGGGCCGTGAGGAAATTCTGGTTGTGACCTGTCTACAAGGCACAAGGAATGGAGCTGTGGGCCTGCCTGCCCTGCCTTTGCAGGTGGGCTGGTGTTGGCCAGGGTCATCACCACTGTTCTGTCTTCAGAAACTCACATTCAAGGGCAGACCAGACTCTGGGCCCTGAGAGGCTGGTTCTTGCCTGCCAGGTGAGGGGGAGAGGACAGCTGCCCCTTTAGGATCCCCCAGTCTTCCACAGGGAGGACGTGGTGGCCCCTGGCAGGGATGACAGACAGCGAGGTCATCACCCATAGTCACTGCCACTGCCACTGCCACTCTGTTGCCTCCTTCAGCCAGGGGCAGGGCCCTGGGGAGAGGACAGGACGGTAGCTAGCAGCCCAGCTGGAGACAGGAGCCTGGTGAGGAAGGCTGTTTTGATTTGTTTTTGCAGGGGGAGGGTGCAGGGCATGGAGACCAAGGAGGTGGTTTGAGGGGGATCCGCTGACAGCTGGCAGCCAGTCCTTGTGCCTAAGGAGCACAGACCCTCTCTGTGGGACACATGTGCCCCCTAGTGGGGATTATGACTGTAGTGGGAGGCTGAGAAAATTTTTAAAAATTTACTAACAGACAGCCTGTGAGCCTGGGTAGGAGAGGCCAATCCTATCCCTATGTGAACACACACACACACATTCACACATACACACACATTCACACACAGAGACACATACATTCACACACACACGCGTGCACAGACATACACATATACAAACATACACATACACACATACACACACAGACACATACACAGACACACACATTCACACACACATACACAGACATACACATATACATATCCACACACATACACATACAGACATACACAGACACACATAACACACATTCACACATAGACATATACATACACATACACATTCACACACACACACACACACATTCACACACACACATTCACACATACACAGACATACACATATACATTTAGACACATACACATACACACAGACATACACAGACACACATAACACACATATTCACACAGACATATGCATACACATACACATTCACACACATACATTCACACACACATTCACACATACACAGACATACACATATACATTCACACAC